GGCTCCGGCGCGCTGGGAGAAGGCGCCGGCCTTTCTTTGCATTTTGTTTGAAAGATGAAGCGAAGCCCCCCCTCTTACTGCGCAGGCGCGGCCCACGCAGCGTACTTTCCAGGCAGTTGTTGGCGTTCCCTGCACAGGCGGGCTCCGGCCCTGCGCTGCCGCCCGCGCTAGCTCGGCCCCTACCGTGGGAGAGCGGGGAAGAGGGCAGGGCGCGCTGGCGACACCCTCTGCGGCTTCCCTGACCCTCCCAACCGCACAGCCCAGGCCCCGGGGCTCCCAGCCGGGACTCCGCTTCTCCCCGCCTGGCCTCCAGCTGCTCCGCACCCGTGCAGCCTCGACCCCCAGAACTGCCCAGCACTCTCGGGGGCTCCTCTGTCAGTGACCCCGCTGACGGCGCGGCCGCGCCGAGTGCGCGTCTCCGCCAGCCTGCGGCGTCTGCAGTTCCCACCCTGGGAAAGGGACGGCGGCACCCCGGCCTTGCCGCAGGTCACGCCCCTGGGAGCCCGAGGACCCGCATCCCGGCTCAGCTCCTCCGGGCGTCACAGCGCCTGGCCCCGCTCACTGGTGGCGGTGCCGGGCGCCTAACCCTGAGTCTCCGGCGTGCCGCGCAGTCATCCTCGGCTCCTCTGTGACCGGCCCCCGCGTGTCTGCGGCCACGGAGAGTCCACAGGCCGGTGGATGAAATCCCTTCTTCCCGCCGCGGCCACCAGGCTGGCAGGGCGCTGGTCCCCTGTCCTCTGCCACCAGCGGTTGGGGCTCGCGGTGTGCATGACGCCCCGCACAGGCTGGCGCTCTGCCCTGGGGCTCTGCCAGCCTCAGCTGCTCCCTTCTCGGCGCAGGCCTTTCCCAGGAGTCACTACATGCAACGCAGCATGGCAGCACGCGCAGGGCGCTGAGCTGACGAGTGTACACAGGCATGTACCTCTCCCTGTCCCTAATGTGCGGAACGCTTCATCTTTGCAAACTTCCCTGTGCCCCTTATCGGGAGCTCCCCCCCCCCACCCCCCGCCCCAGTCACTCTGGCACCCTGCCGTCTGGTCGGGTGCGTTGTGTCTGTATTCCGAGCAAATGCAATCCGACGGCACGTCCTCCCTGGGCCTGGCGCCTGCCGCTCGGCAGCCTGTCTGCGGAGCTCCCGTGCCGACACCCCGCGCGGGAGGTGTGTCTGTGGCGAGTGTGCTCCCGCGCTGACTGCTCTTCAGCCTGGTCATCGAGCAGCCTGCGGGCGCTGCGTGGTTGCCGGCGTGGCAGTGATGGAGCCCTGTCACTCTTGTGAGTATGTGTTTGGGTGGACACGGTCTTGCACTTCTGTGGGGGAGCAAGCCCCCCCCCCCCCCGCCACCTGGGCGTGGAACAGCGAGGCCTTGCGTGCCCCTGCGTGTGCTCGCTCCAGCGCGATCGCCGTGCCGCCCGGGAACGCGTCCCCCGTGCTAGGCACTGATGTGTGAAGCTCTGACGTGTTAAAAATGTTGCCCTTGCACTTGCTTTGCGTCGGTGTCTCCTCGCCGTGTGTTTGCTCCTACTGGCTGAGGACGTGGAGCGTCTTCTCGGGCATTCGCCATGCGCTGGGAGCTGGGAGGGGGGTGCAAGGCGCGCGCCTTGCTGCTGGGGTGCTGCCGCTCGCTTGCTGTAGCGGACGGCTGGCGGGAAAGAAGCGTCCCCAGGCCCCGCGAGCGTCAGGTCGGTGCGCAAGGCCGCTCGGCACGTATGTCCAAGAGGCACTGTGTGCCTGCGTCTCCTCGGCGTGACTCTGCTTTCTCGTCCTGCGAACCTCGTTCTCACGGCACGTTCGTTTCCGTCGCAGAACATCCCACGGGGCGCGCCGCTGCTGACCGCCCCTGCCCTGGGGGGACGGGCCAGCCTGGAAGGCCGAGGGTGTCGGTACTTTTCTCTTTGAATGTTCCCTGGAAAGTGTTTCCTTCACGCGCTTCTCCGAGCTGACGTGGCGAGGACCTGCTCGTCGTGCCATGAGGCCCGTCCTCTGCTTTCCGTCTCACAGTGCGCAGGGCGCCCTTCCAGGCCCCCAGCTTTTGTTTTTCCCCTGAGTAGGCAACATAGAAACGGATGTCTCCAAGTCAGACACGGGCACAGAGGCGTGTTCAGGGAAGTGGAGGTTGTAATCAGTCTCGGATGTGGCTGAGGACATTAGAAGTTAGTGCTATTGGGCGAGTGTCTTTTACACGCCTGCAGGCTCTGTCCTGATTGTGTCATTTCAGGTCCTGATAGATACAGGGAACCCTTATTTGCTCTTTCCTGTGAGCCTGTCACTGTCAGTTACTGGCTTGGGGGGACACGTCGCCAGCGTGTTATTGTGTACGTGTTGTTGGTGCAGGTCTTCTGTCACCATAGCAGGTGCTCTTGGAAGGAGTTTCTGTGCTTGGGACTGGAGCGTGGCCCGGCTTCATCATCCCTGTCGTGTGCTGTGGTTTTCCCAGCGCCGTCCGCAGACTGTCCTGACGGCGCCGCGCGGGCACGGCGGCCCTGCCGTAGATGAAGTGTTGGCATGTGCCAGGGTTGGTTCTGGGCTGGGAGGTCCGTGCGTGGCGCCGTGTGTGTGCGGACGCCGGCACCGTACGGCTGTTAGTCTGTCGCCCACAGGCAGGTGACGTGGCACCTCCACTGACTCCTCACGGACGTCTTTCAGGGGTCTACAGGGATTTCTTCATTTTTTGTTCCCCTTACCTAAGGACTGCTGCTGGCAGTCGGGTGGGCGACGTGATGAATGTGCGCGCTGCCCTGGGCGGAACGGCTGCTGTGATGATCCCGCCTCCCGGCGCGTGAGCTAAGGCGTGCTCCGCGTGGCATCAGCTGACTGCGGTGACGGGGCGGTCCTTCCTGTGTGCACAGTTGCTGCGCCTCCTGGCTGAGGTGCGTGCTGACGGACCTGTTGCTGGAGTGGATTTCAATGGAACGTCCTCCAGATTTTATTGAGTTATTTAAATAACATCATTCTGGAAGTGCGACCGCACGTCTCCTCCTCTGCGCCTGCCTCAGTGTCCACCACGGCTCCAGTGTCAGCCTGTCCCTCGGCTCGTGCCCTGTGGTGCCAGTGTAGTTCTCCAGAGGTGAGGAATGACGCTCGCTGTGGTGCCAGCTTGTTCTGACTATACCATGCGAGCAAGCGAGACCACGGGGGATCTGCCTCTCACTGTCTGACCCGTTTGTCTCAGGGGCGTCGCCTCAGAATCGTCCATTTTGTCCCCAGAGCACCGTTTCTGCTCTTCCCAGCTGGGGGGCAGGGGAAGGGGGCTGTGCTGTTTTCCGTTTCGTCTCCAGCGTACGCACGGACCCACGGGTTCTTCCTCTGTCTCGGGGTGGTGCGCGCACACCTGGAGCCCACGCCACACGCAGGGCCGAGGCAGTGACCGCGGGGAGCTCTGCGCAGTGGCGGTGCGAGGGGGCGCGGGCTTCTTGCGGGAGGACAGGCGCGCCAGCCTGCGCGGCCGGGGGCTTGAGCTTGTTGACACCACGGACTCTCTTCCCCGCGGCCTCTTACCTCGTCACCTCTCTGCCCCCCGCACAAACGCTGTCCTTTTCAGCGGCCTGGGGCAGAGGTGCCCTGAGTTTGGCTCTGCGCCAGCCCAGCAGCAGTTTTCCCGCACAGAGGAGCTGGGGTGCAGTAGAAGAGAGGGGGAGTTGGGGGGCTTTGGGGCTGGCAGAGGCTGCGCCAGCGCTTCCTGAACAGGCTTGTGTGGGGTTGGAGGAGGGGCCTCCTCCTGGAGCGGGCAGTGGAGAGACGCCTGGCGCAAGGGCCAGCGGCCTTCAGGGGGTGGGCGCGTGTGTCCCTGCTTTGTGCAGACCCTGCGCAGACCCTCCCGGCCGGGCCTGCAGCGCAGCGCGCGGACACCCCCTTGGGGGAGGCAGTCAGTTGAGCGCGCGTGTTCCCGGAGCAGAAGGCTCCTCTCCAGGCTGCAGATCACAAACCCGAGCCCAGGCTGTGCCGACCCGTACGTGGGAACGAGAACCTGGCCGGCTCCATCCATGGCTGCGAGACGCCGTCCAGTCAGGGGGTGCGCTCACCCTACACCCAGTGTGTGGAGGCCCTGCAGTGCTGTGGAAAGGCTATTTGTGGTTTTAAACAGCTGCTCTGAGAGAGCTTGAGCGGTTCTCTGTGGAGACGCAGACAGTGACCGCGGGACAGGAAAGTGAAGGCTCACGGGAGGCGTCAGCGCGTACGTGCGCGCGGCGACGGAAACGCAGAGAGGGGGGTTGTTAAGCTTTGCTTTAATCGTAGGGGCTGGGGGGGGGGGGAGACAGCAAGGGCAGGGTCATGGCCCAGGTGCAGAGTGTTCTTGTCTTTGAAGACGGGGCGTCCTGGGGCCTTGGGGTGGTGCGCGGCTGTGGGCGCTGGTGCGCTCCCTTGGGCTGCCGTGCCCTGCGGGGCGCCTGAGCACGAGGAGCTGCATCCCTGGCCACTGTGGCGGGGGCCAGCGGGGAGCCACGAGCATTTCCGGGAGGGCAGGTGTGGGTCCGCGTGGAAGACGCGTCGTCTTCCTCAGTCACCTGCAGCGGCCGGAACCTGGAGGAGACGCCGGGGAGGCGAGGGCTGAGCACCGCTGGGCTCCGGCGGGGGCGCCTCAGCCCTGCCCTCCCACGTGGTCCTTGCGAAGAGCAGGCAGGTGCTCCCGGCCACAGGCGCTGTCCTCTCCGGGCCGCCTCCCCGGCGGGCGCTCCGGCAGCGGGCGTGGCTGCTCCTGGGGGCGACAGCAGGGAGCAGAGCAGGTCAACACGGGGCCGCGGCCTAGGCCTCGGGGCTGGGCGACCGCGTGCCCACAGCCCCCGGCCCGGTCTCCACCCGCTGTGGCTGCCTCGCGGCAGCTCCTTCAGGGCACAGCAAGGGCAGCCGGGGCGCAGAGGCCAGGGCGCACCAGGGCGGTCGCTGGGGAGGCCCCGGCACCCACCGGGCGGCGCAGCAGAGCGGGACCGGCCCGCCTGGGGAGTGCTGCTCGCGGGGCTGCGGGAGGGCCGCGCGGTAATAAAGACAACCCCGGGGTGTGCAGGGCTGGACAGCTTCGGGGATCTCGCCCCACTCGAAGGCTCCAAGACGGCCAGGACCCGGATGGCGGAGCACGAGCAGCAGGTGAGCCTCGCCTCTGTGTCCTCTGCCTGTCTCCTTCCTGTCTGCCGCCTGCCTCTCCTCTCAGCCCTGCTCTCCTCTAGGCCTCCTGCCTGGCCGCCTTGCCCCCCTCTGGTGCTCCCCTGGGGCTCTCCCCACGCTGCCCTGTCTGCCCTGTCCCGCCAGCTCTGCCTCCCGCTCCCGCACCAACTCTCCTTCATTTCCCGAGTCCTCTGGCTCTCCTCGCCCCGCCCCTGGCGCCTTCTCCCCGTTGTGTCTCCCGCCCTTCCCTGTCTCCCTTTCCTTCTCTGCGCCCCCGTCTCCTCTCCATCTTCTCTGCGCCCCTCACTGTGCTCTGGCCTCTCCGCTCTTCCTTCCCCTCAGCAGCTCTGCCCTGCCTCTCCAGCCCCCAGCCTTTCCCTCCGGCCTCGCCCATCCCCTCTCCCCTCCTCACGCCTCCCTCTCACCTCTCCTCCTGCCCTTGTCTTCTCCCTCACCTCTCCCCACCTCCCTGCCCTTCTCTCCCCCACAGGCAGCCCTCTGCACGGCCCCCACCCCACCTCTGCTCTCCTCTCCCTGTCCCCTCCTGCATCTCCCCTCCCTCCCCTCTCTCCTCTCTCTCCCCTCTCTCCTTTCTCCTCTCTCCCCCTCTCTCTGTGTCTCTCCTCAGTCTCCTCAGAGGAGAGAGGAGAGACACTCATCAGTCTCTCCATCTCTCCTCTCTCTTCTCTGTCTCTACTCTCTCTCCCATTTCTCTCCTCAGTCTCCTCGGAGGAGAGAGAGGAGAGAGGAGACACAGAAAAGAGACAGAGGAGAGACAGAGGAGAGACACAGGACAGATTGACGAGAGACGGAGGAAAGAGGAGAGACAGTGTCTTGTCAGTCTCTCCTGTGTCTCTCCTCTCTCTCCTTTCTCACTCCTCCCTCTGTCTCTCCTCTCACTCCTCTCTCCTCTGTCTCTCCCGTGTCTCCCCTCTCTCTCCTCAGTCTCTCCTCTGTCTCTCCTGTGTCTCTCCTCTGTCTCATCTCTGGCTCTCATGTGTATCTCCTCATTCTCTCCTCTGTCTCTCCTCTTTCCTCTGTCTCTCCTATTTCTCTACTCTCTCTCTCTCTCCTCTGTATCTCCACTGTCTCTCCCCTCTCTCCTCTGTCTCTCCTCAGTCTCCTCAGAGGAGAGATTAGGAGAGACAGAGAAGAAAGAGAGGAGACAGGAGACGAAGGAGAGAGAGACAGTCTCTCGTCAGTCTCTCCTGTGTCTCTCCTCCGTCTCCTCTGTCTGTCCTCTCTCTCCGCTGTCTCATCTGTCTCTCCTCAGTCTCTCCTCTGTGACTCCTCTGTCTCTACTGTCTCTCCTCTGTCTGTTGTGTCTCCTGTCTTTCCTTTTCTCTCCTCTGTCTCTCCTCCGTCTCCTCTGTCTCTCCTCAGTCTCCCCGGAGGAGAGAGAGGGGAGACAGAGGAGTGAGGAGAGAGAGGAGAGACTGACGAGAGACGGAGGAGAGACAGTCTCTTGTCAGTCTCTCCTGTGTCTCTCCTCTGTCTCCCCTCTGTCTCTTCTTTCTCCTCTGTCTCTCCTCAGTACCTCGGAGGGGAGAGAGAGAAGAGACAGAGGAGAGAGAGAAGAGACAGAGGAGAGAGAGGAGAGAGGAGAGAGACTGACCAGAGACGGAGGAGAGCGGAGAGACAGTCTCTCGTCAGTCTCTCCTCTGTCTCTCTCTGTCTCTCCTTCTCTTCTCTGTCTCTCATCTCTCTCTCTCCTCTCTCTCCCTCTCTCTCCTCAGTCTCTCCTCTGTCTCTCTTGTGTCTCTCCTGTGTCCCTCCTCTGTCTCCCCCTTCAGTCTCTTCGGAGACTGAGGAGAGACAGAGCAGAGACAGAGGAGAGAGACAGGAGAGAGGAGAGAAAGGAGAGACAGTCTCTTGTCAATCTCTCCTGTGTCTCTCCTCTGTCTCGCCTCTCTCTCCTTTGTCTCCTATATCTCTCCTCAGTCTCCTCGGAGGAGAGAGAGGAGAGACAGTGGAGAGAGGAGACAGCAGAGACAGGAGAGACAGAGCAAAGACAGGAGAGAGAGGAGAGACAGTCTCTCGTCAGTCTCTCCTCTGTCTCTCTCCTCTGTCTCTCCTCAGTCTCCTCTGTCTCTCCTCTCTCTCCTGTGTCTCCCCTGTGTCTCTCCTCAGAGGAGAGATTAGGAGAGAGAGGAGAGACAGGAGAGACTGACAAGAGATGGAGGAGAGACAGGAGAGACTGACAAGAGATGGAGGAGAGACAGGAGAGACTGACAAGAGATGGAGGAGAGAGAGGAGAGACAGTCTCTCGTCAGTCTCTCCTGTGTCTCTACTCAGTCTCTCCTGTCTCTCCTCTGTCTCCTGTATCTCTCCTCAGTCTCCCCGGAGGAGAGAGAGGAGAGACAGAGGAGACAGTGCAGAGACACAGGAGAGGGAAGAGATAGGAGAGAGACGGAGGAGAGACGAGAGAGGAGAGAGTCTCTCGTAAGTCTCCTATATCTCTCCTCTCTGTCTCCTCTTGCCTCAGTCTCTCCACTGTCCTCTGTCTCTCCTGTCCTGTCTCTCCTCTGTTCTATCTCCTCTGTCTCTCCTGTGTCTCTCCTGTGTCTCTCCTCAGTCTCCTCGGAGGAGAGATTAGGAGAGACAGAGGAGAGAGGAGAGATACAGGAGAGACAGGAGAGACTGACGAGTGATGGAGAGAGAGGAGAGACAGTCTCTCGTCAGTCTCTCCTCTGTCTCTCCTCAGTCTCCTCTGTCCTCTGTCTCTCCGATGTCTCTATGTGTCTCCTCTCTCTCCACTGTCTCTACTGTCTGTCCCCTGTCTCTGTTTGTCCTCCATCTCTCCTCTGTCGTTTGTCAGTCTCATTCATCTCTCCTGTCTCTCTCTCTCTCTCTCTCTCTCTCCCTGTCTCCGCCACTTTCCTCATGTGCGGCTCTTCATCTTTGCATCCATTGCAGCCCACATGCCTCTTCTCTACCGCTGCCCCCGCCCCAGCTGTGTCCTCTGGGTGCCCGTGTCCCCCTCCAACCCCCTCCATCCTCTCCTGTCCAGGACTCTCCCTCCTCCTGCAGTTCCCGCAGCCCTGTGTCCGTGCGTCTCCTGTCTTCTCTGGACACCCTGTGCTCCTCTCCCCTGGCCGCTCACTGCCTCTCCTCCCTGGGCCAGGCCTGGGCCTCCCGCTGCATCGCCCCCTCCCCTCCACTGCCTCTGCCCTGCTGGCTCCCCACAGGGTCTCCCCCTCTCCAGAGCTCAGCTCCCCCGTGTCTGCTGGCCTCCCTGTGCTTTCTGCCCTCCCATCCTGTTACCCCAGCAGCGTCCTGTGCTCCCCCGCGTCCTCTGCGTTGTCTCCTGTCCGCCCGCCACCCCGCTGGCCGGTCTGTGCCCTCCCCTCCTCTGCTCCCCTGGGCTTCCCGCGTCCTTTCTCCTTCCCCAGCGGGCGTGCGCACAGCCAGGACGGGCATTCCCCACGTATACAGGCCAACACAGTCACGGCTCAACAATGCCAGCTGTCTGAGACACGCGGGAGGACGCCGAGTCGTGCCACCCTAACGTCACGCCTTCTGAGGAAGCCCCGTGCCGCCGCCACAAAACGTCCGTGCGCGGCCCACCCCCCACGGGAGTCCCTTCCCTGCGGTCACGCGGCTCCCGGCCGACAGCACGGACGCGGCTGCAGAGCCAGAGCACAGAATGCGGCAGACCCCGGGGACGCCACGAGCACGCTGACACGCGAGACCTGCAGCCAAGCAGGCCGTGGCGCTGGCGCCACGTCCCAGGGCGGCACAGGGCGCGAGAGCGGGCACAGGCGGCGCGCCCGCCTGGAACCAGAGCAGCGGCCGTGGGCACCGCCCGCTCACCGACACGCGTGTGCAGCGAGAGCCCCCATCACCCGCGGCGAGACGGCGAGGCTGCAAGCACCGTGACGCTCTCAGACCCACAGGAAGGGCCGATCCTGCGCAGACCCTCGCCGTGCCATGCCGGGAGGCCGCGGAAAGAGAGGCGCCGTCTCCACGGCGGGAGTGTGCGCCCTGGCCTGCTGGCGCGCAGCAGCGGGCTCCCCTGAGGAGGGGCCGTGCAGGGCAGCCCCGGCGTCCCCCCGTCTGGCCTCTGTCCAGGGAACACGAGGCCAACAAAACAGAAAGCGGACCTGTCGCCGGCGTTCACAGCGAGCGCACGTCTAGGCAGGGGCGCACGGTTGGAGAGAAGCGCGGGTAGGGACTACAGGGCGTGAGAGCAACAACGGTGGCGCACATGGACGCTGCAGCTGCCTGAAGGGAAAGAAGCTAGAGCAGAAGCCAGCCACATGCGCCAACGCCGGGAGCGTGCGGAGCTCGGGAGGCAGGGGGAGCGGCGAGAAAGCAACAGGAGGGGTCACCTTCGGAGGGTGCGCGGAGGGCAGGAATGAGTAGCCCATGGACAATCAAAGTGACTCTCCACTTCCTTCACCCAAGCCTGCGGTGGCCCTCCCAGAAGGCGTTCCGGGCGGCGGCCCCGGCCACGGGCTCGGTCTGGGAATGGGAGACACGGGTGAGAGCCCCGGGAGGGGACGCGTGGGCACGTGGAACAGGAGGACCTGTGTTGCGCCCAGGCGCCTCGTTTTCTTGCCGCACGTGCTCTCTCCCTCAGAACCTGCACGGCCCTTGCCACAGCCGAGCCACAGCGTCCTCATCAGCTCACACTCGACCTCAGGGCCTCTGCGCGTGCTCTGGCCCTCAAGACGCTACGTGCACATCCTCTCCCGCTCTAAGGCTGCTGCTTCCTCATGACCCTCGTTTCCCCTGCCACGCAGACCTCGGACGTTCCCGTGGCGCGCGCACGCTGTGCAGTCAGCCCCCGAGCCCGCTCAGCGCAGCGGGGACAGCAGGGCCGAGTAGGGGCGAGGAGACAAGGAGGCCGTGTGAAAACACAGCCGCGGCAGGCAGGACGCCGCGGCACACACACATGACACACGGTGAACACAAGCCCGTGCCACTGAGATCTTCCTGCTCGTGTCATCTGCTCTGCTTCACAAATGCTTTCCTGGTGCTGGGACACTAGACTTGCACCTCCTTCTAGAGGTCAACCTTCTAGACATGATACCGTGGACCTGCTGTTGCCCATTCCTGTCCCCCCAAGCGACAGGGGCTCTTGGACGCCTAGAAGCAACAAAACCCCCAGGCAGTCCATCCCATCTGCCAAGCGAGGCAGGAACTGACACATCACGAAGCCCCTCCTGGAGAGCAGAGCCGCCACACACACAGGCGCCAGGGAGGCGAACACCAGGGCAGTCGGCGCGCAGGACGACACAGCCACCTTCCGTGTCCATGGCTTCATGCGTCTGGAGTGGCAGAGGGAATTTCGAAAAAAGCCCAAGAGCCTGTTCACAGGAAACTCATTGCACCAGTAAAGACAAGAACAGCCCTACAGGTGGAAGACATTCACACATGCAGATGGCCACAAAAGGCAGGCAGAGCTGCGTTCACAGCACACAGACAGGCAGACAGGTGTCAGGGTCTGCGAGGAACTATGAATACAGCGGTCGCGAACCCCCACCCACCGAGGGAGCACACGACAGTGCCTCCTTGGCTCCGTCGCTGCTTGTCTCGCACACGCTGCTGCCGGGGCCTTTCCATCTTCCACGGACAAGCCATGGGCTGCTCCCCGAGAAAGGAGGAGGAAACGAGCTCCGAAGGAGGCGGCGGGCCCGCTAGGCCTGCGACACCTACGGCCCTCACCGCAGACCCGCCGCCGCCATGCTTTTCCTCGCGTGCTCGTGGCACACTGTCAGTAGCCCATCTGTCGGGACTCAGGTCCGTGATCAATAAAGCGACAGCGAGCGAAGTCACACCAAGTACTTTCTGACCGTCGTACCATGAAGCTAGACGTCAACTACACATGAAAGGAAAGACCATAAATATCGTGAGACGGATAAGGTGCTAAATAGCTACTTGACTGAAAAGGAGATTGAAAAAAGGAAGACGGAGGAGGATGAACACCCGGGTCCTCCGCACAGGGGGTGCAGCACAAGCTGCGCCGGGGAAGGTCATGACAGGGCAGGCCCGCATGAGGAAGCAAAGGCCCCAGCAGCTCACCTTGACACCCAAGTCACCTCGAAAGGAGAACAAACAAGACTGAAAGTTAGTAGAAGGCAAAACACAGTCCATAGAGGAGAAACGAATGAAATGGAGATGGCAGCAGCGCGTGCAGCCTCGGTGAACGCCAGGTTGCCTTCTGGAAAGACAGCCGTCAGCTCAGCTCCCAGGGCAGTGAGGGGACACCGTGAAGCAGGCCCAGCACGAGCAGAAGGGATGCGCAGAAACGCGCCAGGGCACGGCTGCTATGAAAAACCACCCGCCCGTCAGCCTGCCAGTCTCCAGAGCGCCGTGGTGTGCGGACACCGGGCCGGGCGGAAACAGGGTCATCCACGAGGCCAATCACGAGCACGGATGTTGACGCGGTACTCACGGTGGCCCCCGCGCACAAGCCCGGAGCCAGAGGACTCGAGCAGGACACGCGGTCAGACCTTAGCGCGAGAGCGGATGCCGCGGTCGAGGCCGCGCTCGTGCACGGTCCAGTCGCCACCCGAGATGACAGGGGCGGAAACCCGCCTCAACAGCACACAGGCTGCTCACGGTGAGCCCCCAGCCAACGTGATGCTTCGCAGCGAGAACGTCGCGCTTGCCCTCCACGAACACGGACGAGACAGGGCGCCGCTGTGAGCACCTGCGTGCAGCTGCGCAGTGAGGACCTCCGCGGGAGCAGCGCGCCCCCGGGAAGGACAGGGAGCGGAGAGGACCGGACGCCATTATGTGCAGGCCGTGGGGAGGAGCAGACAGACAAGCCCGAGGACGCGGGAAACGGCTGCGAGCAGCAGGAGAGGAATCCGGCGCGGCGGCAGCTGACACCAGCACAACACGGCACCGGGCGCGTTTTCATAGAAACGAGAACAAAAGCAAATTAAGAAAAGCAATTCCGTTCGGTCTTTCCAAAGAGAGCACCTAGGAACCACCCCAGCCAGGGGGGCGACGACCTTGTGAAGCGGGGTGGGGTCCCCGGGCAGCGTCAGGGACGCTGGGGAGGGTGGCGCGGCCCTGCCAGCTCCAGTGCCCCCGGGCCTCGCCCTTTCCTTTCAGGAACCAGATCTGTACTTTCTCGAGTGAGTCTGCTGCTCTCTGCGCGCCTGAACAGTCTCCGATTCCCTGTTCATGGCTTCCGGGGCAAGAACCCGCGGCCTTTCCGGGGCGCAGCACGCACCTGCCTCAGGCGTCGCGCGCAGTGATGACCAGAGGAGACGACGCTGGGCCACGCTCGGGGATGCGAAGGATCAGTACAACCCAAACGCTTCTGTCTAGAGCAATATACACCTTTCAGGACATGCCCATGACAGTAACAATGTTCTTTAAGGAAACTGAACATTAAATTTATACGAAACTAAAAGCAGTAGGTGAATTTCATGCAATCCCCTGGACATGATTTTTTAAAGGAATCGAATATATACACTTATAATGAGCCATAAAAACCCTTGAGTAGCTAAAGTAACCTTGAGGTAAAAACGAGAGACGGGGCCCTCCCGGTCACCCTGGCGTCCCCAGGGTGCGGCCTGAGAGTCCCAGACACGCGCGGCCGCGGGAGCGGCAGCCCAGAGCAGGGAGCGGCAGGGTCTGGACGCGGCCTCAGCGGGAGGGAGAGCCCTTACTGGACGGCGCCGGGGCCGCTCCTACTCCACGCCCAACAGGCGCAGCAGGCTGGGCTACAGTGCGGGCGAGCAGGGATTTCATCACGTCGTCGGTGGGCAACATGCGACTCCCGCGGGGACCATTGTTAATACACTCACACTTTTACTAGCCCCGAAGCGGGGGCGCCAGGTGGGGCGGCGTCCCCCCAGAGCGGCCTACCTGCGGCAGTGGCGTCTCCGGGCCGGTCCGTGCCCCGCGTCGGGGCCTGCGCCGCTCCAGGGCCTTGTCCTGCCGGCGTCCGGGCTCCCTGGCGGTGTCGGGGCGGCCCTGCGCGCGGGCTTGGGGTGCTGCAGGAGGGGCGCAGGTCAGCGGGGGAAGCGTGAGGGGCTGCTCTCCTCGCCCCCCCCCCCGGAGCGCCCCCACAGGCAGGGCCAGGAGTGTGGCGCCCCTGAAGACGGCCCTCGGGCCGCGGCCGGCGCCCCCATGGGTTAAGCCCGGCCCACAAGGCCCGCCAGGTCGCCGCGAAGGGCGCCCGCTACACGGGGCAGCCGCGTCCCCGGGGCCCTCCCACAGGTGGGCGCCGACCCCACCCAGGGGGGGGACCCCGCCAGGTGGCGCTGCTGCCACCTGCGCCCAGCGCACGCGAGGCCAGGGCCGGGGACAGAATGAGCCCGCGTCCACCCCAGCCAGGCCCCTCGCAGGCCCTGCAGGCCCACCCGCCCCCGGCGCGACCGGCCCTCTCCGTCCCTGCCGCGGCGTGGCTGTGGCCCCGAGACCGGCCTCCGCCCACCTGCCTGACCCGGGAGCGCCAGGGAAGCCACGGCCGCAGCCTCAGTGGGGCTCTGCAGGCACTTCGCGGGCACTTCGTACCTCCTCTTCCTTCCAATGCTAACTACTAAGGTGTGAGACGGGGGGCCTATTGTGGGGGTGCTTGGTCTTGTAGGACAGCAAACAAAATGAGGTGCAGCGGCTCACAGTGGACTGAAGAAGCCACGGAGATTCCCATGTGCCCCCCCCGCCACCGACACCCCCCACCCCCTCACCCCCAGCACCAATACCCCACCCCCCATCAGCAACACCGTCCTCTGTGCCTGCGCCTGGCGCGTCTGGTTCCACAGCTCACCAGGGCACGTTCCCTTCCAAACTCGGCTTTGATGGAAACTGTCGTCTGGGGCGAGTCCCAGCGTTTCCCGTCTGCTTTGCTCAAGACGGGAAAGCTGAGCTGGAGAAATCTGACGCGTTTCCATGGAAGTGGCGCCAACGACGTTGATCTGTTCCTCGGGAGTATCTCTTGGCTGAGCACTAAAGGGGCTTCCCGGCGACTCCGCGGCACCTTCCGAGTGGGGCGCCATGACAGAACCTGTCTGACCTCCTCCGGGGCCTTCGCACACGCCTGCCCCTGGCGCCACGCCCCGCGAGAGCCTTGTTTGTGCCGAGCGAGGAGACCGGCCTGCCGGCGCGGCTGCTTCCCCAGTGGCACGGCGCCTCCGGGTGCCCGAGGGCGCTGGCTGGAGGGTCGCGAGTCGCGGGTCCCAGCGTGACTCACCTCTCCCGGCTGGGCGGGAAGCTGTGGGGAGACGGCTGCCCGGAGCGGCCCCTTTCAGCGCGCGGGGCTCCCCCGCCGGCCCAGCCGCTGGCTCCACGCTCCTCAGCGCTGTGGCCGGCCGGCCCCCGCGGAGCCACTGCTGCCTGGCGAGCCACTGCGCCCGGACGCGGCCCCAACCCGCGCGGCGGAACAGCCGGGACACAACCCGAGCAAAATCGTCACTCTCCGTGGCCTCAAGTAAGTTTTTAAAACATCTGGTCTTCTTGGACCACATGAAGCCAGCTGGGCAGCAAGCACCGGCAGGCCCTGCTCCAGGGAGGCGGGACACGGTCCTCAGCGCCTTTCCCCGTGCTCTGCCCCTTCCCCGGGCCGGGGGGAGCGGCTCCGACGCACGGGTGCCCTCCGTGCACAGCCAGGCCCACGCCCCAACGGCCTCGGCCGCCCCTGGTCACCTTCCTCCGCCAAACGCGGCCCATTTCACATCTCCTCTTCAGCTCGTCGGCATTTCGTGCCCAAGCACAAGTGAGTCATTTACGAGACAGGGGCTTCAGGGAGGCTCAAAGATCCCCCGGGAGCCTGTGTACAGCGGCGGGAGACTGCGCAACTCTCCCCCAGATGTGGGGTCACATCTAATTCTCGAGCCGAAGGTATTTTCTGGTTGGGCTGAGCCCTCAAGGCGCACCAAGCATCGCCTCCGCCACCTCGCTGGCCCGGGCTGCGCTCCAGCTCTGACCGTGATCACAAAGGACCACCGGGGACCTGCTAGGGCCCCGCCCCACCCCTGCTGGGCACCAGGCAGGCCCCGCGGGATGTGGGCACGGAGCAGCCTCCGCGTCGGAGGTGACAGCAGGGCGTGTGTCGGGCGCTCCACCGAAAGCATGAACTCCTCCTCGTGGAAGCCGCTCTGGAAGTTTCCACAGCAAGAAGACCCAGTCCTGGGTTGGGGCCCGGCGCGGGCACAGCCAGGGTGGCCGGCCCTCCCTGCCCTGGGAGACTCCAGAGGCTTCCAGAGTCCTTGAAGGCGGGGCCCTGGGAGAACACCGGGCACGCCACTGCTGCTGCTCCGCAAGGCCACTCCTCACCAGCATTCATGACAGTCCTTGTCCTGCCTCGATCTTATTAGAGCGAACTGGGTTTGGGTGAGACACTCAGAGTAAAATCCCTCACACCCGCGCGGCTCTGCAGTGTGGGACGTGATGCCTCACCCACGTCCCCGCGTACCTGGTCTCCGAGTGCCGCGGGTCCTGTCGCCGTCAGGCTGCCCCCTGGCTGTCTTGTGTTGAAACACTGTAGGAAATACAGCACATGTTACCGACTGCACGTAGCACAGACAAGAACATGCCGTAGAAGGCTCCGGGCCGGGATGCGATCTGTTTCTCTGCTGATGACTTCGGCGCTGGATTGTGCTGGAGGAGGAGGATTATCAGATTCAGTTTTCGCGTTTTTTTTTTTTGTGGGACCCTCGCCTGCAACTGGGGATCGAACTGGCGCTGCAGAAACTGCGGGCAGCCTCGCACCCCAGCGCTCAACCGTCAGTGATTTGGGGTTGAGCCCAGCTAATGTGCAAGGCGCTGTCAAGAGAAGCAAGTCTGCTCTCCACGCGCGACGTGCTGAAGGAACAGCACGCACGTGAAATAACATTTCTGGTTGACAATCATTTTTCTGCTTCAAGTTCGTTTTTGGAAAACACACTGAATATAACTTCCTGGCAAGTTCTGGGTTTGTGCTTTACGTTTTTCCTGAAATCAAACAATAGTGACGTGTAGATGGCGTGTGAACCTACTGTGGGACGTTACAAGGATTTTTACAAGTGGGGCTTGATTTTTTTCCATTGGCCAGTTTCAAGATCCTTGAAGAAAATGATCCACTTAACGTTTTCATGACATGCACACCCTGTGCTTTTTTGCCAGTATTGTTAGCGTGGTAACTCAGCATGTCTAAAAAGTCTGAGTCTGCCATCGCTGAGATGGGGAAGATTTTGAATCCAGTGATACATTCAGATAATAAATTCTCAAAATAGAAAGAAAATTAATAGCTAAATCAACATTTTTGCTGTATTTTGAAACGCCAGAGTACTTGGAAATGAGGTTTTTTGGTTTTTTTTTCCCAGCTTTTCGGTGCTAATTTGCTAAAATCACTTTACACCCTACATCTTATTGAACTATGTGCTAGTGAAAACACATCCCCAGTCTTCGCGAAATACAGTAAATATTAAACAGTGCCATGCTCTCTTTCCCTTCCTAGACTAGGAACCTGCCAGCAGCTTATTCCCTTGGTTCTGAGATTTCCCCAGGGCCGACAGGGGACCAGCCTGCCTAGGAGGCTTGGAAAGTGCCGATAACAGCTTCTCAAAGTCTGCACAGGCAGGAAGCGGGGCCCAGGGACACCCCCTTGCAAGGTGATCCCGTCCTGCTCCCCTGTGGGGGCTCTCGCTTGTCTGCACAACGAGAGGACAGAACGGAACTAGAAAGATTTCTTCTCCGTGGTCGTGTTGTGCTTGGGATGAGTAGGTGAGAGAGTCTTGAAATTTCTCAGGAACCTTCTGTGTGTCCACATGGGCCACAAAAGCCGGGGAGCCAAGGCTGCCAGGGAAATCCGCTTACTGACCGGGCTGGCTGGAGACTCCCAGCAGCCCGCCCTGGGTCCCTGCTCCTGGGGGAAGGCCGTCAAGGGCCGCGTGTCCTCCGGAGACACGGGGGCCACTCAGGCTGCAGGCAGGGCACCATGGAGACGGCTGGGGACGCGGGACAAGGAAACGGTGAGCCCTGCAGGGCGGGTCCTGCCCCTGCCAGCGCAGCTATGCAGTGTTGGCCACCGGGCTCACCATGCGGGGGTGGGCGGCGCTGGTTCTAGAAAAACTGAAAAGCACAGGAAATACGTCCACACAAACTAGGAGTTCGGGGCCATTCAACAGCAAAGCTGGTTCCCTCTCCATCACCCTGCAGATACCTACACGCCTAGAAGGCAGGTTCTGCTGCTTAAATATGAACACGTAGCTAAGAACAGCGGGTCCTGACGGGGGATCGAGCGTTGTGGACGGCACATCAAACGGTAACAGGGACAGTAGGAGCAAAAGGAAAATAAAGGTCACAGAATTTCAAAACTCAAAGCAGGATGGAACTGAAGATGCTCAATCACACGCCTCGCCCACCAGCAAAGAAAAGGAGAGTGCGACAGGAAGAGCTCGCTCGCAGAGCACAAGAAAACACCACACAAAACCAGGATGCCAGGGGGCGCCCCAGAGCAGGCACCCCAGGGTGGGACACCAGGGGGTGCCCCAGACTGGACTCCACTGCCCTGGCCCTGCACCTGCCATTCTGAGAAAGTCCTTGCGTGTCACAGTATGTAAGTGATGCGCCTCTTCAGAAGTTTCTAGAACAGCATTAAAGTCTTATGTTCAAATGACTGAACAACATGAGGCCCAGCAGCCCCGCGGGAGGGCCGGCGCCACTTTGGGTGCTCCATTTGGAAGCTATCTTCTCTCCTCCCCACTGCACGCTAATTGCATCAAGGTGATTTTCTATCAGAGGTCGACACACCGAGAGGGTGTTTGTCTTTATGTGGCAGACGGCAGATCCCATCTGTGCAAGTTTGGGGGTCCTGGGTGACCCTCATTCTGCCTGCAAACAACCCTAACCATCATTCTTATTTTCTTCATTTATTGTGTGTCTAAATTGAAAGACAGGCCAGGCCAGCTCCCCGGGGATGTGAGAACTGCTCCGCACACCACACCAGGACACGGGTCCAGTCCCCTCCCGCCCCCCACCGCCCCAAATAACAAGAGCCCAAGCCCTCACCTTGTGCGATGTAGGGCCCAGCTTCCTCTCTGGGCGCGGGGGCGTTCACCGGCCGGGGCGTGGGGGCTGGGGGCCTGTTGATGAGGAAGGAGGGGCTGCCAGCTCTCCCCGCGGCACTGTCGTCGGCCAGGATGATGTCGTAGTCACTGTCGTGGACCTCTGTGAAGATGTAGGGGTCCTCCTCCTCCTCTGCGGGCTCCTCCTCGCCCACGTCCCGTCTCCCGCCAGCATCGCCCGAGCTGGGGAGCCTCCCCGCCGGGCCCTCCAGCGTCTCCCCTGAGGGGAGAGCGTCAGGTAAGGGGGTGCCTCGCTTGGCCTCAGCGCCAGGGAACTAAGGAGGAGAACAGCCCACGCCACCCCTTTACGTTCCCAGCAGAGTGAGGTGGTGGCTCCTAACACCCCTGCAGCTGTCGGCCCGCGTGGGTCTGAGCGCAGAACACGCGCGTGACGGCGGCGCTCATGGGCCCTCACGGTCAGGAAACGCCGTCACCAGTGACGCCTCAGGCCCAGGAGCTCTAAGCTGTATTTTGGAAGCTCAGCACTCTGATGGATTTCTTCTGTCGGAAGGTATTTTTCCCGCTCAAAGGGCTCGCACTGGGGCGCTGCCTAAGATTCAGCCCCTCTGCACAGGATCGGGGTGGGGGCCCCAAAGCACCCCACGCGGCTTGGAATCTGGCGGGCAGCCCCTCGAGACCCAGCTCGGCTCCGCAGCCGCAGGGACGCTCCGGGGCAGCGGCACAGCTGATGGACGTGCGGCCGAGACCCGCGCACAGAGGCGGGCGTGGGCGCGCCCTTGGCGTCTGCTCCCGACGGCTCCGTGTGCGCGTCCCGGCACGGACGTCCGGAGCGGCTGCGGGAGCCCAAGACGTGCGCAGTGCTCCGGGTGTGGAGAGCCGCGAGGAGTTGTAATGGCTCTGCCGGACCAACGAGGACTTCTGCTTAAGCAGGTCCCTTGACACAACTTTTACTTAAAACAGTAACGGAGACGCAGAACGGAGGGGTTCCAGCGCTGGCGGGCCAGCCATCGCTCGTCTACGGTGCCCTCAGCCTCCCTCCCCGTGAGAGCTGGGCCCCGACTTCAGCTCATGCATGTGGCATGCCCGTGGCATGGCTCGGTGTGAGGGAGAGACGCCATGGATGAGAAGGAAGGGCGTCCAGGGGGGACCCCATGGCTGGTGAGAGAGGCCACGTCCCTGTCTTGGCTGGTCAGCAGGGTCCCCCATGGCCGCTGCGGGCCCCCAGTGCACCCGAGAGCACCGCCTGCCTGTGTGCTGCGCCCTCTCCCCTTAGACGCTCGGTCGGAGAGCCCGAGGCCAAGACCGTCCTACCGACGCCCCGGGGGGCCCAATAAAGGGTGTGGCCAACGCGTCCACAGTGCGCCGCCCTCAGCAGACTGCGTCGGGCTACTGCAGGGGCGCGTTTCCCGAGCTGCTGCGCGCTACCCCCACCACCGCTCTGCCCAGACTGTGGGAGGCCGGGCTCGGCCGGGAGACTGCCCCTGACCTTCTACTTCCCCAGCCACCCGGGAGGGGTGGCTTCTCAGTGCAGGCGGCACAGCAGCGGCGGAGATGGAAACCAGCCACCCCCGTCACGCCTTAAGTCCTGGGGCAGAGCGCGCACCCAGGGCAGAAAGCCTGCGGAGCTGCCATGGCACGTGTGGCCTCGGGCTCCGAGGCTGGGGTCCAGGTGAGGGAGGGTGGAGGGCCGAGGGCCTGCGAGCCTGTGGAGCCGGGCGGGGTGGGGGGTCCTCGGGAGCTGACACGTCAGGCCACGTCTCCAGGGACCGCGCCCTGGCCCATGCTCGTGGCGGCCAGGCTGGGGCCGACGGGCGCTGCGCACGTTACTTGGAGGATGAGCCGAGCCCACAGGAGGGGGGCCACATGGGGGGGCAACGGTCTGGCCTCTCTGGCCGCAACACAGAATCGCCAGGAGGAAAAGCAGCACCTGCTTCTGATTTACGTGCAGGATCAACCGTGCGAAACGCGAGCCAAAGCAGCACTGCGCGGAAGGGCTGGCGCGGGCCTCGTGAAGACAAGCACAGGCCTCGTTTCTCCGCAGCAAACCCCGAGAAGGCGCGCGGCCCCCGCTGCGGGGGCCTGCTGGGTCCGCCGGGGCGGCCGTTTGAGACGCAATGGAGCACACGCAGGCTCCTTCCAAGGTTCGTTGCCTCGCTCGGTGCTGGGGCCGGGAGGAGAGAGGCTGCTGCGAGAAGGGACGCGGGTGGCTGGTGGCAGGTGTCTCCTGCGCGGTGCCCGACCGCGGGGTGCAAGAACCGGGGAAAGTCACCCTGGGTGTGAAAAGCTCATCTACAAAGACCCGCGGCCGCGCCTCAAGTTGTGGGAGCCTGCGGACCCGTGGCTTTGCCCTTTCCCGACGGGCTCGGGCTCGGAGCCCCGCCACGCGCATCACTGTGGGCAGGTGCCGGGGGACCGCGGGGAGAGAACCCCGCGCCGCGAGCGGGACAGGCCCCCGGGGAAGGGCGCCCTCCCATACGGACGCGTCGTGGTAGCCCCCGGAGATGGGGACCTGGCGCCCCAGCGGCTGTGTGAGCGGTTTTCTCTCCTCGTCCGCAAGCCTGAGGCGTCTGTCTGCTCCAGCCCTCCGTGCCGAAGCAGGACGCGGAAGCCGAGCGCCGTGGCCTTCCTCGAGGGCCCGTGTATGGCGCCGCAGCGGGAACGACACTGGCTTTGTTTTTCTCCCGTTCCTCTGTCCTAGCCCGCGGTTTCTCTGCTGAGACCCAGCGGGGAGCCCCGGAGGGGGAGCAGAGGCAAGCTCCTCTCCCGCCTTACCTTGCGGCGAGCAGTGGGGCTTCTCCAGCTGGAAGGCGGCGGCCCAGGCCCGGGGCGGCGGCGGGGGAGGTCTGCTGCTCGGGCACGGCGCTGGCGGGTGGCGCTTGGGGCCGCCTCCCGGCATGAACACATACAGGTCCTCGTACTGGTTCTCAGAGGCCGCCTCGTCGGCCGCGCGCTCTCCTCCTTCCCCTCCCGCGTCCAGCCTCTGTGTCTGCCCGGAGCCGGGAGGAGGGGCTGGGGGCTGAGCCGCTGGGCCTGGCGAGAGGGCATGGTTCATGCAGACCCGCGCCTGGAGCAGCTCCCATGCCGCAACTGCACGCGCAGCGGCAGTGCAGGGGAGCCGGCGAGGATCTGAGGTAACGCAAGGCTGACGCGAGCATCGACTTGGCGAACGGCCATTCTGGGGCCTTTGCAAACGGACAGTCAAAGCCCCACTTGCTTTCTTGCTGCCTCAGTATATGGCACATGCACATCACACTGTTCTGATTCCCCAGAGCTCACTGAGGAGATCTGTGCTTCTGACTGAATTACTGCATTTTTATTAGGAACCAGTATGACTGCCCCAGTAAGTGCTACGTGGTGGAGCAGACAAGAAAAAGGAACTGAATCTTAACTTCTAAATAATGCAATAAAAATGAATCTGCAGCTCTTAACATGTATTTATCTCCGAATAATATCTTCCTTAAAAAAATATTACTTGCCCTGGCCCAACTGTCTCCTTTCCAAGGTCTGAGAAGCTGTGACTTTGGTTACCAAAGACAGCAGTCGGGGCGCTGGGTCAGGGGCGGGAACACCAGGGTTCATGAGTCGACACCGAACTGATGAGCAGGATTTACACAGCCACAGGACGCAGCAGGTCCTCTCCCAGAGTATGAACTCAGTTCTAGTGAAGACCTTCCCAGGTGCTCTTCCGTCTGACCGCTACCGCACAGCAGCACCCCAGGGGGGTGTGAGAGAGCCGCAGGGAACGCTTACCGGGAGGTGAGGCGATAGCCTCTTCATAGTAATTTTCTTGGTCGTCACTTCTGCTCACTCCTTGGACCTGCGAAAAGGAAGGTGACGGTCACTGCCGGGCCCTGACCTGGTGAGCCTGCATGTGCATGCGCCGAAGGGGAGGCGGGGCCGACGGCCAGGAGACACCGGCTCAGCGTTGCGTCCTCTGCTCTGGGCCTTCTGCGTCGGCGAGTGACGCGCGGCAGCGGCAGCGTCCCTGATGCCACAATACAACTCACCGCGCTGCTCCAAGACTGGAAGCAGCGCTCGGGAACCACGGGCGAGCGAGCAGGGCTGGCGAGGGAGTTTTCAGTCCATCCAGCGCCGCACAGCGGGCGCGAGACCGCGACGTGGCGTCTTCCATCCGTGACAAGAGAACGGGGGTGAGGAAGGGGCCTTGTCCGTCTCCCTGGGGTCAGCCTCACCGACGCGGAGGGGAGGACGCTGCGAAAGGGCCGCAGGGCCACCTCTGCAGTCGCCTGTGTTCCCAGGCTGTGAAGAGGCCAGGGCGGGGGGCGCCGTCACGGGCACACGGGAGCTCGTGGGGAGAGCGGCCTGGCCCCGGTGGCGGCGGTGCTTGCGCAGGGACAGCCGTGGCCGCCACCCTCTGTCACCACGAACCCGCGTCCACACCCAACAGCTTCAGGCTTCCCGGCCTGCTACAACTGGTCCACATGAGGAGGCGTCTGCTCGAAAATCAGGAGTCGCCTCGTTCAGGAGCTCCTGGAGCTACGGCTCCCTCGGCTCAGGGCTGCTGACTGAACTTTCACCGACCCTCCATTTCGCTTCTCACCCACTTTGGCCAAGGAATTTTTGGCCAATGGAATTTCCTTGTTAGAAAGTGAATGTTATCCAGAAAAGCAACAAAGGCTGATTTCCAGTGAAATCTAAAATAAACCTCTTTAATGTTTACCTACAGGGCCTGATAGAGGACCTCATTTCACGCTTTCCCCCCGACGGGCTCATTCAAACGCTAACATGAAGCACCATCTAACAGTATTTACTCGGGAGACTGACGTGCTGACACTGTGCTTTGGTGTGAGAACCACTGTCTAATACGGCCTGAGCGCTATGCTTCAGAAGCGAGGTCAAGAATACATTTTTAGGGTCTCCCTGGTGGCTGGTGGGGGTTAAGCCTCAGCACCATCACCACCACAGCCTGATCCCCGGCCAGGGGACCCAAAGGGCGCAGCAGACCTCTCCTGTCTCCCCGCTGCTCCCCTCAGCAGTGTGTTTCAGTGCATCCGCCTGTTCTGTTCCCCACTCTGTCTCTGGTGAATCCTCTTACCCCCACACCACTGGCCTGACCCCAGTTCTTGCATGCAAAAATTAAAACAACTACATTTTTAAAAATTCATAATACATTTAAAAGCACAGCGAAAAGGTTGTGAATTGAATAACAAGAACGACTGACAGTGATTCCAGGAACTCTCCAAAAACTTCCCATATGCTATTCTCAAGCCGCAACGTTGTGAACTCACAGTGCTTGTGAATTCGAGTAAGTGTGCCCGAGGTGAAACCTGATGGAGGCCTTTGGACGCGGTGACTATGTGACTTCTGCACACACACACCTGAAAGGAGGCCGCCTGCCTACGCTCGTGCCTGCATACTGCGAGCACGGACGTCCAGTGCGATCAGGGAATGCCGAGGTGCTGTCTTCTCAGCAGTGAAAGGCTCTTTAGCGGTATGTACACGAACAGCTGAACACGCTACTTGACCCTCATGCTTACGGTCACAGTCACCTGGAAGAAACTGCGCTGGAGGCACAACAGCAACTCTCCCTGCAGCTCGGGGGCATCAGAGAGCATGGGGCCCCAACACAGGCTGAGGCCAGGGGGCGCCCGGGCGTCAGTGTGGGCGCAAGTCCCATGGGGAGAGACTGCGCTGCAGACCCCGCCCAGCCATGTGCAGAATGGGCGCACGGACAGCTGTGCGCCGGCTCCTGGGAAGTTCAAGTTAGAATAAAGCAACCACCACACGTCACGCCCAGGCGCCCTCTGGCCTCAGTCACCGTCAACCAGGCACGGCAGGCAGTGATGAGGAGGGCGGGCGCAGGCCTGCAGGAAGGGCCTGGTCCGGCACCAAAGATGGCGGGGGCTGGCTAATGGAACAGCCAAGGGCAAACATCGCCTGGTGCCACCTACATGGGGTCTGGGAAAGAGATGCAGTTGGAGTCACAGGGACAGAGCAGAGGGCAGCACACTGCCCGGCTGGGCTATCGAGCGGGAGAGGCCAGGAAGCAGGCACAGCCCTCAGTTTGCAGATGAGGGAGGCGGCCACAGCGTGCAGCAGGGGCGCACCGCCAAGGGCGCGGTGCTGCAGACGGCGGCTGGCGAGGGGGTGCTTAGCAGGGCCTCCGCTTCGGCCCGCCTGCCCACCTCCCCCCACCCCGTTGCTCCCTGCTCCTGAGCATGCTCAAGGGCCTCTCTCCCTCCCTCACACTCCCCCCAGCACTTGGTAACTATGAGGTGACAGATGTGTTCACTAACATGAATCCTGGGAATCCTTCATAACGCATTGCCCCAATGACGGCCGGGCACTTTACACACAGTTGTGTGTTGCCCATACATCGGGAAAGATGAAAACTAATTTAGCGAGGCTCGCGCCGACATCCATCAGGAGCCCCCGGGACATTTAAATAACAACTCGCTACGAGACACAGACACAGGCCTCATTTACAGGCGCCGCGAACAGGCCGCTGCTGAGGAGCACGCCGCGCAGACGTAGTCGGGACGCAGACGTGACCCCCCAGCTCAGCAGCCGAGGGAACCCGCCGGAACCGGGGTGGCATCATGGGGGTCAGCTGTCTCCCGCTAACATAAATAAAAACAACCCCAACAGCTTTCCTTTTCCAAAACTGAGGGGTTTTCTAAGTTAGAAAGAAAAACAAGGATATGCAACAGGACTCTGGGGAGAACGGGAGGAGGCCGCCAGCCCGGCCATCAGACAGCCACGCAGACCCCTCGTGGGCAGAGGCCGAGCAGGCCCGACGCAGCCGCCTCCACGCCTGAGAACAGCAGCGCCGACAGTCAGCGGAGAAACGTGAACTAGTCATTGTTGGCACGATCTGGGGCAAAAACCCCAAAAACAACAGGCCCAAGTCTCACTCCTTAAACTAGAACAAATTCCAACACAGAAATGAAACATTGAGAGTAAACATAAAAGTTGTGGGGACAACACGCCAGGATTCTTTCTAATCTTTCCAATAATTTTCTCTAACATCACAAACTATCCACTATAAAAACGGCTTGAATTTTGAACACAAACACGTTAAATGTCTTCACAGAAAATAAATCCAGTAAGTCAATGAGTAAATTAATTTCAGCAGATAAATTCAAAGGACAAAGGAGAAACAGGGTAAAATGTTTGCAATTTGTATGACAGACAAAGCACTAGCTGGTACCCCCAGATCTAGACAGTGCCTCAAAACGGAGAGGGAAAGACTAATGACGCAGCAAGCATAGCCAAGGCACAGAACAGTGTTCCAGAAAATGTGAGGCGAGTCATCTGAGAACGGTTCGGCCTCACAGGAAGGGAGATGGCCCCAACTTCAGCAAAAATGGCAACGTTTCCCCAGTTCGGGAGAGCACCCCGAGGCAACCAGGGACGCCTGCACGCCAACTTGGGAGGGCGTGAGCTGGTGCACCACCTCCGAGGACGATCTGGCCACCCATCCATCTGTGCCTCGGCTCGCCTGTCTCCACACATCTGCGCTGGTCACGTACACACGTGCGCGATTACACACGGCAGAAGCCAGCCGGGCCGTGGCTCTCAGCATCAGACAGACAAGGCAGGTGTCGGTGACCGGCTGAGACGGCACACCTCACGGGTTGTCGGCCCTCTCTGAGGGGCTCCTCTCTGCGCACGCATCTTCCTGAAAACGACTTACTCCCCTGCGCTGCTGACAGCTGACTGGAGGAAGCACTTCAGAGTCCTGTGAGTCATCCGTGGCCTCTCGGGAAGAGCCAGCACTTTCCACTCAGAACGCCACAGCACGGCTCACCGTTCTCTCTCTTCCTGGACTGTATTGCTTTCCTTTGAATCATGTACACAGATTCATTTCCTGCAGTTAAAAGCAAACCCTGTGCACTCTTAAATGCGAGCAGACACCGTCTCCTCTTCCCACAAAATGCTCTACTGCAGGCGCGTCACCACGCTACCCTTCATTCCAAAGCGAGGCTGTGACGGCAGCTACGTCTCGCACACACTCACTTGCTTTCTTTACTCTTGTCATGTGTCTCACGGGCATATCAGGCCTCCATTTTAGAGAACTAATTGGGCCCAACGTTTGCATGACGGCTCTTTCGCTTGTTCCATAGGCTTTCATTATTCACGAAAGAGATCACGAGATACAAAAGGTATGTGCCAGCGCAAGCATAGTTACCGCCAATCTCTGTGCGGAACGGCGCCTGCCAGCCCCACGGAGCCCTACCTGGAGCCACCATCATGCATACAAGCGGGTGGTGTCTCAGCTCAGGGAATTCGGCGCAGCTCCTTAGGTGTGATGTGAACTTGAATTTCCAATGAATACATCACATCCAAGCCTGATTTTGTTAGGAACGACGCTTTCAACAAAATTCTGTATCATTAAATAAGATAATTAGCCAAATATAACGACACTTTAATTGTAGTCAAGCTGCCCCCACCCCACATTAAAATGAAATAGTGTGACCTGGAAAGCTGTGGTCACCAATATTTAAGACAAGAACGGTTTCTAGATGCCTTGAAAAGTTTCAGAGATCTGGAAGTGGAGCGAAATGACTATGGATCCGGGGTATCTGGGAGGGACCGGGAGAAATAGCGCATACTTGTGTGGAGGGACAATCTGGGGACTCGCCGTGTTCCTGGCTCACCGCAGATGCTGTTGTGAGAAAGTGCTTCCTCACTCATCACATGGTGGATCTCAGGTGCAGTGGAAATAAATTACGTATTTCATCTCATCAAATAATCCTCCCTGAGGATGCCAATGCGCAAGACTCAGATAAAACGCTGATTCTACCAGATCACGTCAGAATTGCACCCATGAAACACTGCAGGCATGCAGAATGC